CACTTCCCGGTGGTACTAATCGCTGGTTCGGAGCAGGTGCTTCATCTCTTTAAAGGCCAGATTTGCAAAGACACCTTGCACTCCGCTCATCAGATGCGTCTGATTATTCAGAGAGTTAAAAGGACATCTCTTTCCTCCCATCGCTTTTCCCTCTACAGCTTTTATTTTGCACAATGAACAACTCGCGACAATCGTAAAGAAAAAAGGGCAAATGGTACATAAGAAGCAAAAACCTACTTTCCCTTTGCCGATTTGGAAAACCTCGTCGTTTTTATAAATGACCGGACAAGCCGGACGTCCCGTGCGTATGAATGCGATTCCACGAGTATTTGCCGCCAATTCAGTGGCACGTTCCGCTGCCACTGCATCGGTTGGATAGAACACGACCGATCCAGGAATAGTCCTATCATATCTCACTCAGTTTTGTCTCCATAAATCATAAATTTTGTGATTGAGATCGCCGTACTTTAATGTTTGATCGATTTTTTTTAATGAAGTAATATGCACTGGGCCATTTTATTCGTCAGTTCTCAAAACCTTTGTTAAACCTCAGCGAACTGTGAAACCGGGCTGTAAGAGAATTCACAGTGTGAAAACAAGTCCGTTAAAGCGCTCAGGCACCAAACACTGAGGCTACGTTGGTGGCTGTGCGCAATACTGGACGGCTCAGATTCTTTCAAAGCCACTTGCCAGTAGGAACCAATAGCTATTGCGTTGAAATTCAGCCAGACAAAAAAAAGAAAAACACAAATTTTTATAAAAAATTCCCAAAACATAACTAACAAGTTTCTTGGTCACATCAATTCCCAACTGCACACCATGAGGCTTCTTGGAATAAAAACAGGGCCGACGCACAAAGACATTACTTTGAACTCTCTCAAAAAAATACGGAACGAACTTTACAACAATAAATAGTGGCGCGCACAAGGGCAGCCGGTGCGATCATGCGTTTTATGCAATTTCGTTCACCGAACGATTGCCTGCTAATGACTTCCACTGCTTTGCACTTTGGTCTGTGCAAAAGTAGCTGAAATGTTGTCGGGTTCTTAAGCTGCGGAATTCCCCACTAAAAAATTTCACGCACACGAGATAATAATTCCTCTATCAAAACTTCCACAGGGCTATACGTGATACCCAAGGGTGCGTGAAGGCTGAATCCAAATTTGCGAGGTCGTACGTTTATAGAGGAGATCACCCTAACATTTCAGATTCCCAACTTCCGCGGGTCCCCAAGATAATAATTTTCCTCCCCAAAACTTTCACGGGACCGTAAGTAATACTCGGACACGCGAGAAACTGAATTTAAAATTGCAGGATTGTATGTGACAGAAGGCATTACCACAAAGTTTCAGCTTCCTAGCTTTTATGGTCCCGGAGACAATAATTTCCACGCCAAAAGTTTCACGGGGCCGTAGGCGATACCCGAGAGCGCAGGAACGTTGATTTAGGGTATTGACCCCTCTACCTGCGCTGCGAGGTCGCACGCAGGTATGGGGGTCAATACCCTAAATTTTAAGCTCCCTAGATTTCGTAGTCCCTGAAATAATTATTTACCCGCCAAAAGTTTCACAGCGCCGTTCGTTACCCGCGGGCAGGAGAAAGCTGAATTTAAATTTCCTGGGTAGCACGCGGGTAGAGGACATGCTCACAAAATTCCAGCATTCTAGCTTCCGTGGTCCCTGTGATAATAATCTTATTCGCCCAAACCTTACGGGACCGTATATGTTACCCGCGGGTACGCGGAGGCTGAATTTAAATTTGCGGGATCATACGCGGGTGGGGGACGTTACCATAAATTTTCAGTTTCCTAGCTTTTGTGGTCACCGAGTTGAAAGTTGCGGACAAGTTGCTACACACACACACACACACGCGCACACACACACACACATACACACACAACCCCGTAACAACATGCGTTTTTTACCGCTATTACACAGCACAAAACGCATAAAAAAGGGTACTTATCGAAGAATTGACTGTACCTGAAAAATGCGATATCCTCAAGACCCATCTGGGACGGGCCATCTTCTCCGATGGAAACACCAACATGGGAACCAGCGCATTTCAGATTCGCGAATGACACGGCGGCCATACGAAGCTGATCGGCGGCGCGCGTAAAGAATGCAGCGAAAGTACTACAAATCAGTTTCTCATAAACTAGTAAAAACAGGTCAGCGCCAAAGCAGGAAAAAATC